ATAAATCGTATAGCCCAGTAACAGAAATGCATAATATGACAGTATAATAAAACTACATGCCTTGAAGTGCATGGAAAGCTGACATCTAGGTTTAGGCTGTGTCCATGGATACACCAGAATTTTTGAGGAGTAACAGGACTTGGTTCCATTGCTGTGTTGACGCAAAGTGCAAGTTGTAGACCTCCTATGCCTCTTGCCCACCCCGACGCAGCTCTCCCCACAAAAAGATCCATACCTCAAGTTAAGACGTGCTTTAAACTCAAGATCCCTAGTCCATCTTCATTTGTGAAGCTGCTAACACTTGAATTATTAATGCAGTGGGGATGCAGCAGGTCTAGTGTTTGAATTAATATAGTCTATCAACAAGTAATTCAGGTGTTCTGGGCAGGTAAAGTGTTGTTTAACACTGTGGTCACTCACTTGAATTAGTGTAACATTAGTGGAATAATTTGAGTACAGTAAGGGAATATCTGTAGCCACTAATTTGACTGCATTCTGTCCAGACATATCTGAACTAGCTTTAAACTAGCTGTGTAGTAGCCCTGTGCGAAGCAGCTAGTATTTACTTTGGATTCGGCTAGTTCGGGGGACAGTGATTCAATTCGGTGATTCGAATCACTGTCCCAAATCGATTTGGCTGAATCTAATTCGGACATTAGGCTGCTGCTAAATTGGCTGAATCTCCAAATTGGACCGCCCCCAACCCCCGCCTGGCCCCAGCTCCCTGCTCTTTAAAAAAAAAAAAAAAAGGCTCGAACTCAGCCCCTACTGTCAGGGGGGGTCTCTGCTACGAGCCCCCAGAAGTCCCAACAGCCACTGAGTGCGGAGCTTTTTTTTTTTAAAAAAAGAGCTGGGACACTGGGGCTGGGCTTGCCTGGCTTTGAGGGGGCTGCGGCTGGGAAAGTGGGCAGGGGTCAGGAGGCACTGGGGGAGCAGGAAGGAGATGGGCCTGGCAGAGGTCCCCTCCATTGTCGCCTCCCCCATCCTGCCCCCTACTTACCAGCACAGAGTCTGGGTCCAGCTCCGTACGGTGGTGAGTGGAGACTGCCCAAATCTCCCCGAATCTTTTTTAAATTGGTTTGGAGAGCTTCAAATGTATTCAGACCTTTTTTTTTGGTCTCCTGATTTGATTTGGATTTGGAGATTTGGCTGCCAAATTGGCCCGAATCTCCTCTGAATCGAATCAGCACCCGAAGCTGCGCACAGCTGTACTGTGTAGCTGTGGTGCCATGGAGCTCAGCTTGAGCTAATTCAGCCTGTTTTTTGTGTGGGTTTTGAGCTCAATGGAATTGGTTTGTCCTGTTTTGTAGGAGAAATAATCTGTTCTTCCTGTGCCCTTCTGTAGAAATGTCATAGCTTGCCAAAAAAACTAAGAGGTGATTCTGGCTCTGTGTCCTCACTTTTGTCCATTCCAGCTGGCAACCAGCCATGCATCCAGTACAGATTGATAAGCTATTACTGCTTGTGGCTTCACATTTGCTGTAGCAGCGTATAGCCAGAGGGTATTGAAGATGGCAATGATTTCTGACCCCTGAGCAGGTGACAGTGTGAGTCTTGGAAAAGAAGCTTATGCAGCAGTGAAGACGGGGTTCGTGCATCTGTCGCTATAGGTTCCTCTTTCATAAAGCAGTACTTCTGGTGCAGGCAGGGCAACTGCATGCAGAGTGGTGAGATCCTGAGACAAACCCAGAATGATCCGTCTGAAGTACAGGAGCACGTCTTAAAGCTTGTAAATGAGGACAGCTGTACCATTTCATAAGCAGTGGCTATTGCCCTCTGCCAGTTGGGTGTCCCAAACTCCTGTTTTCTGTTCCTGGAAAGAATCATCCTCCATGTACAAGTTAGCTTGTCTTAAAGCATCAGCAGGCTTCATTGGCAACCCACAGGGATGCAAGGGTAAAAGTTTAATATTAAATTTGAGGGAAAATATTGGCACAGATCTGTTTGAGGAGGTTAAGAAAATTACAATCCAGCCTGAGTAGTCTTGGTCTTAATATTAATAAGGACTGGGGAAATCTTAGGGGATGATAAACTGCTAGAGACCCTGACTGAAAAAGGGACCAGCTTTTTTTAGCCCAGAAGCAGAATTCCAGTTACCTGTGCAAGAGAGACTTTTCATGATCTGCTGACAGAATATCATATGAAGAAGTAGAAAATTTTTGCAAGCTATCTGGGGTGACCGTTGGAAACGTGCCCTGCCCAGGAATTTTATTGTCTGTCCTGAATAAGAGAGCAGGCAAAAGGCAAAGAATTACCAAGTGTAAGAACTATGGGACGGTGGAGCATACATCATAGAGAAGTTGTGGAATATCTTCCTTTGAAACATATGCCCAAAATCATAGTCAAGACAGAGAGCCTGAGTCTGACTCTGGGCTGTCCTAAACCAGCTACATGGAATAATTTCTGGGGTATGGTCCAGTGCTCAGTATAAAGGAGTAGGTGGAACGTGCTTCTCAGTAGTACTCCAGGCTAGACCTGGAGGTAGCATAGATCTTCTTCCACAAGACATTCATACACAAGTAATCTATGGAGAATGGTTAACTTGTGAAGTACGGTAAGCAATACCAGATTGTGCTCTTTGCTTTAGCTTGACCATGACTTATATGTGATGAGCAGCTACTTTTATTGGCATACTGTATGCTGTGCTTTGCTTTACTTCAGTCTTGCACACATGTTAAATTCTGTGAAATTTTAGATATGACTACATATAAACTATGGCAGATATTTTATTTGGGGACTAGAGAGTTTAATTCAGCTGCTTTTGTTAATTTTTTAAATACATTTGTTCTGAGAAGCACAGGTCTCATTTAGTTATACTTTAGTGGCTGCCACCAGGGGGTAGGGCTTTAGGTCAGGGATAACTGGCAAACTTTGTGCTTGTGCACCATATGAGAGAGCATTTTCAAATGTATAGTGATTATGGGAAACTCTGTCATAAGCCACGCACCACAGCTACACAGAACATGAGACTTCAATGTGATGCTGTGGCTAGTAAAGCGACCAAAATGCTGGCTTGCATCCATAGATGCTTCTCAAGCAAATCCCAGGATATCTTTCTCCCCCTGTACTTGGTCTTGGTGAGGTTGCAGCTGGAGTACTGCGTCCAGTTTTAGGCTCCACAATTCAAAAAGGATGTGGAGAAGCTTGAGAGAGTCCAGAGGAGAGCCACGTGCATGATCAAAGGTCAAGAAAACAGACCTTGTGATGAGAGGCTGAGAGCCATGGGGCTCTTTAGCCTGGAAAAGCGCAGGCTCAGGGGCGATCTGGTGGCCACCTATAAGTTTATCAGGGGTGTTCAGGATCTGGGGGAACGTCTGTTCACCAGAGTGCCCCAAGGGATGACAAGGTTGAATGGTCACAAACTCCTCCATGACCGTTTCAGGCTGGACATAAGGAAGAACTTCTTTACTGTCTGAGCCCCCAAGGTTTGGAATAGCCTGCCACCAGAGGTGGTTCAGGTACCTACTTTGAATGCCTTCAAGAGACAATTGGATGTTTATCTTGCTGGGATCCTATGACCCCTGCTGGCTTTCTGCCCCGTGGGCAGGGAGCTGGACTAAATGATCTTCCGAGGTCCCTTCCAGCCCTAATGTCTATGAAGTTACTGAATTACCTGACTTACTGGATGAATAAACCTGTTAAAATTTGATGGCAATATCTTACCAAATATTCTTGATTTATTTTCATAGTTATGGTTCACTTTTAATTGTATACTAGATGATGATAATTTGTAATATCGTAATATAGAATAGCAGAACCTTAATATGGCAATTTACTGCATCTCTTGTTTTTGAGAGATGAGTGATACATATTTGTGCTGGCAAGATTCTGTTGCACGAGAGAGGCAAATTAACAAATTGTCCTGCCAAAGTGTGGGGGCGGGGGGTGGGATCAGGTCTTTTTATACAGGTATTGAGAAGCGTTGGAAGGATGTTAATTATGGGTGTTTTGAAAGCGTGTAATATGGTTCGCAGAGGTCACTGCCATGTTCTTTCATCTGAGCTAATCTCTCTGTTTACGTCTTTCTTTGGAGTATGCGCTTTCAGTGTCACTTGTTAATGACCACAGGGTTGGGCATCTGATCTAGGCTGTGTTAGTATATATGCAATGTATGGGGCTGTAAAGGACACCCCACACCTCTTTGGTGGCTTTCCATTCAAGCAAAGTTTACTCTAACTTACTGCCTTTACCTTGGCAAGTGTTTAGAAAGTTTGACAGGGTATGAGATCATGAGGGCTAGGGTTCAGAAAAGCTTTCAGCACTGGTTTATGGTATTTGCTCTTTGTTCCTATGGGCCCATTTAGGAAGGTACTTAAACATGTGACTAACTTTAAGGTAAGTGGAACTGCTCACAAGTGCTTTATTTAATCGGAGCCGTAGTGAAAATATGACAAAAAATTAACAAAGCAAGTTATGAGTGCACAGTAATTACTAAAATGCTAGACAACAAGAGCTACATCCAACTCAGTAACCAAACCTGTTTTGGAAAAACAGAGACAGGGTTTGTAGTTGGTATGATTCTGTATCTTCTCCCCCTCCCATTCATTTGAAGAAAGCTCATTTGTTTCATAGTATTAGAAACTGGTATATTTACATATGGGTATACTGTATACTGTAAATGTATAATAAAGTGGACATATTTTTAAACATTTGCATATGAGAGGAAAATCAAAGTATTAATGCAATATAACTTAAGCACACTTAATAACAATTTAAAATGTTGTATTATGATTTGTGGTAGGAAAATTAAGCATTGGAAATTAAAGAATAAATTTCACTTTAAAAAATCATGTTTGTAGAAGTATCAGAGAATGAACCTGGAGGTTTTATTCTGTGTGTTTGATGCCACTCATGCTGACTGAAATGTGAACAGTTTTATAAGTTATAGAAAAATGGAGAAAGAACTATATATACAGAAAAGGAATATGGATGAAAAAAAATTTTGAGGGAGAAATTGCCCCTAAATCAAGACTTATAAGTAAAATAATTTGTCTCTTTAGTCCAACAGGCAGCCTGCTAAACTGAATCTACTAACCTGCCAAGTGAAGCCAAATGCTGAAGATAAGAAGTCTTTCGATCTGATATCACGTATGTGACATTTTAAGTGGATGAACTTCTGTAGCTTGCATTGTCATATACCATTGCTTGGGATTTTATGGAATGGTTTAAAGCATGACCGTTACAAGACATCATTTAAAATAGAAATGAGTTTAATTCATGAAAAGTTCATTTCCCAATCCAAACTTCTACAAAGTCCTCTGAATATTTTGATCAATCTGTAATTTTGATGACTTGGGGCTTTTTATAACTGAATGTGTGTAGGCTTTAATTGTTGTTATTATTATACTGTAGTTACAAGCCATGAAATGTATTGTGCATACCAGTAATTGTTCTATGAAAATGGTAGCTGCATGTGAACATGCTTCTCTAGATTTTGTTAGGTAATTATTTTGGTATTTCAGTAGCCAATTGGTACCTGTAGGTTCAAAATAGACTCTAATTGGAATGCAAAACTTCCGTTTTCTATTGTTTGGAGAGCCATAGTTCCAGAACTAAGCTGAGGTTTTGCCAGGATAAGTGGGGGGCCATATGTTAACAAGTACGAGTGTGGAGTACTTAAAATAAATGTGATTTCCTGAAGGATGTGATGACACAAATGCTTTACAGTCAATCTAGTAGCCTTAGTGTTCAGATGCAGAAGCTTTAGGATATTTTTTTATTTGTCAAGTTTCAATTTTCCATCAGTGAATCAACATTCATTCCATCTCCCCAGTAAAATCAGTCCTGACCCCTCCCTCCACCCCATTTCTGATGCACATTGATTAACCGAGCATCATTTATAATTTAGGTTTCTGCCTTAACCTACCATGAGTAAATTCTGGCCATTCACTTCTATACACCGTGACCCTGGAAATCATGCTCTTTATATAAGCAAAGTCATTTTCTTACCTTCCGTATTACATTCATTCATTTTGGACTTTCTCCTGTCTTCTTTTTTAGTAAGTTTTGACACTTACAGAAACAAATAGCTTGCTGTCACAAATTCTGTTCCTTTAATAAAATTTAGGCACAGAAAATAGGTGTACTATAGATTAACTGACTCATTTTAACATTTGTCTTTAATTGTTGAATATATTTTGGTGGCAAATATTTTGGTAGTTTAAAATTAATTTGAAAGCTGTTACATGTGCTCAACATCAGGAAGATTTTTTTTTTGTCTCTGTATTTCAGATAACAGAACATACCATTTCCAGGCAGAAGATGAACAGGAGTATATAGCGTAAGAATATTTACACTGTCACCTGGACTATTTTAAGTTTGCCTATAGAGATATGTAAAGCTACAGAAGTCACTGGAAGACGGTTTTTGCTGACTTAATGAACAATCCTATAGATGTTTGTTCAGTGATTGCCCTACCCCCTCCCATTTTAAAATCTATAAAGGAAAATTGGCTTTTATCAGAGTAAGGGTAGGCTGAGGGTTTGAGGACATGATGTATATGAACTACATGAGAACACTAAAAATATAAGATAATAGAATTCCATGCCCCAATACTGTCCCCTTGGTTTGTTGACATTCTCTTATCTGGGCTTATTCATTATTACACAGTAGACTGGATTCTACTAATATTTAAAAGAATTCCTGGACTATATTTTGCCACAGGTATTCTTTTCTTACAACTCCTTCTTGTCTTTTCTGGTTCTGTCTTTGCCTTATTTCACTGTGGGGGGGAAAAATCATAAATGGAAGCATTTCATATACCTCTGCCACATTAGGCTTCACATGGAGATCCAGAAAACAGAAACAGAGGACACTGCCTGCCTCTGTCTTGGATTAGTTTGGAATCTAGAAATGTACTGTAGTTCATTTATTAATATATACCTTTTCCTCCATATTATATCATATCAGTCCTCTTTCTCCCAGTGAAGGACTTGCTGGTGTGTTGCAAATCATTTTGTCACTCACTTTTGGCAGCTCTAGGCTTTTGGCCCCTGATAGGTTTTAAAATACTGGTTCTGTTGGAACCTGAGGAATTTTATGTCCCAGCACAAACATCACGCATCCTGCCATGCAGATCTGGCATAGCAACCCATGCAGTATTTGGAAAGAGGCATAAAATTCCCCAGGGGATTAGGCATGGGGCAGCTGTGTCCTGGTCCTCAAGTGTGTCCCATGCCTCACGCCAAAGTTCAGTTGAGTATCAGGAGGGGGTATGGAACAACCCTGGGTACCCTTTCAAGACGCAGTGCTGTCCTCAACTCTATCCTGGGGATTGAGCATGGAGGGTAGCTGTGTTCCAGAGCCCAGTTCTGCCCTGGGCCCCATCCAGACACTAAGCTGACCATCAGGATGAGGTTCATGGATTCATAGACTGTAGAGTCAGAAGGGAACATAAAGGATCATTGTGTCCGACCCCCTGCCTCTGGAGGTACAGGACAGTTTTGGGGTCTGGGACAAATGCAACTCATTGTATTTAAGCCACAATATAAATGAACCACAAAAATATGCCATGTAAAGTGTGAAATATCTTTGTGACCAATTTGCAACTTTGTAGCTCCATAAATTGGCTGAACATTTGGCATGAATTACAGTAATCACATTGTAAATGCAACATTTGCTAGAGCCCAACCATTGCAATGGATTGCAGAGAACATGCAGTCTTCTACCTTTCTTTCAGTTTCTCTCTTCTTCCAAGTCATGCTCTTCTCTGTTCTTCCAGAGCAGTGGTAGCCAATCTGTGGCACAAACAGGTGCTGTGGGTGGCACTCAAGGCCCAGGTGCTCAGTAAAGGGAGATGCTAGATGGGGAGAGGGGGAGTTAGAGTCTCTGGTGGCATGGAGCTGAGAGGGATCGGGTCACTGCTGCAAAAGGAAGACAGATATGGGACTGGTCAGCCTAGAAAGAGAAGACCTTGGGTTTGGTGGCAGCTTACAAATATATCAGGGGAGAGCTTATAAATATATCAGGGAGACCATCAGGGACTAGGCAAACAACTATTTACCAACGTGCCCCAGGGGAAAACCAGGAGCAATGGTCATAAGCTCCTAGAAGAAGGTTTCAGACTGGATATAAGGAAAAACTTCTTCACGGTTCACATGACCGGACTCTGAAATAGACTCCCAGTGGGGAGTGGTGCAGGCACCTGCCCTGAAGATATTCAAAAGCAGACTGAACACCGTGCTGGGGTTATTTGATCCCAGCAGTCTTTCGTGCCCAGAGCAGGGGGACTGAACCTGAGGATCTCATGAGGTCCCTTCTAGCCCTAAACTTTTGTGAAGTATCAGGTGCTATTGCCAAGAGCCAGGTTAACCCTTCCCTGACTCTGGAGCTGCTGACAAATTTAATGCTTTGGTTCCTTGCTCATCATATAGCAATTGCAAGGCCATTGTAGAAATAACCTTGATCTTGGTGGTTACACCTCTCTCACAGTAGTGTCCTATCCCCACTTGGCTCCATGTAGCTAAAGGCCCTGAGCCTCCCTGCCTCCAGTACCCTAGCAGACTCTTATCAGGTACTCCTCAGTGGGCATCCTAGTCCAGCCTGCAGAATTGCGGTGCTCTTCCATTCTTTCAGTGACTAGCATTGTGGACCTTCAGAGGCGGATCCTATTCCCCCACTCTAGTCTTTCAGTGGCAGAATTGCCTTGGTTATAGCCTACTGCATCATATTAGGATCCATGTCACTCCTGAGAGGAGCATATTATTCCTTCCAGCTCATTGAGAAGGAGGTTCAGGCAGGTGGACAACCAAGCAAAGAAGCCTTCTCTCTGCTCCCAATGTTGCTTGTCCATTTTATCCAATGGCCATGTCATGCAAAACAAATGAGATTGAGCGATTGGGGCCAAAACTTAGAGCTCCTTTTCTCCCAAGTAAGTTCCTGCCACAGAGCCAGACTCCCACTGATTGCCTTACTTAACCAGTACACTGGTGGTTAGTAGGGTTGTGCAAAGCTTTGGTCACTGATTCAGTTTGGCGGAGATTTGGCCCAATTCCAAATCTGAATTGAATCAGGAGACTCTTTAATCTCTGAACGATTTGGAAAGATTCGGTGATTCGGACATAGACACAACTTGAAATGTTTTTTCTACGTACCTCAAGGTACCAGGCAGCTCGTGAATGCTGAGATGGTGGGATGGATGGAGTATCCCATGGGAGCACAGGGGGGTCCCCAGCATGCTCAGCAGTAGACCCGGAAGTGGACCAGAAGCTGGGGAGCATGCGGGGGACCCCCCCCCCCCCCCGCTTGGCTACTGGTGCCTCCTGGGTGTGGGAGGGCACCTGGGGTTCCCCCCCCCCCATGGCCGATCGCTGAGCTGGGGGGACACCAGGTTGGGAGGGGGGAGGGTCCCACACACTCAGCAGTGGACCCAGAAGTACTTCCAGTTCACTTCTGGGTTCGCTGCCGAGCATGTGGGGGGCCTCCCTGCACTCCTGTGGGACACTCGATCTACCCCACCATCTAAGCATTCATGAGCCGTGCCTGGTACCTTTAGGTATGTAGAAAAAACATCTAAAGCTGTGTCTATGGCCGAATTGCTGATTCTCTGAATCAGCGTCGAATCTTCAGATTCGGATTCAGCCAAATCAAATCAGGACAGTCATCTGAATCAACAAATCGAATCACTGACCCTGATTTGGGCCGAATCTGAATCGAATATGGCTCGTTTTCCACTCCCTTAGTGGTCAGAGAACAGTCCCAGGAAGTGGAAAATGTGGGTCAAACCCGCCAGGATGAAATGGGTGTAGAACCTGTCTCCTACTTCTGGGGCAA